TTTTTCAGTTTTTTTTGCAATTTTTTGGCTAATAGCACAAAAAGTAAAGTGCCCAGTGGCGATTAAATACCACCAGAAGAAAGCTCTATTTGTGAGAAAAAAATGATAAAAATTTCATATGGGTACAATCTTGCATGACCGCGCAATTGTCAATCAAAGTGCGACAGCACTGAAAGCTGAAAATTGGCCTGGTAAATAAGGGGGTATAAGTGCCCGGTAGGCAAGTGGTTAACTGCTTATATGTTACACACTATAACATATATTACCACTGTAATGTCCAGAGTCTGGACGCAGGTGCACTGTAAAAGGAAAATAAATTATTTTTTTTAATTAATACAAAAGTTAATTTAAAAGGTGTCTTTTTATATACCTATAATTAAGATAAACAAAAATGTGCTGTGCTACCAGTTCTAAGCAAATTAATCACAAATTACTATGTCAAAAGAAATAATATAAATAGTCCCAATTGCATAAATCCCAAAATCATAAAGTCCCCATGAAATAAAATGATATCTTCACATCAATATAATGTGGTAACCCACCATAAAGAACACGCAACTGCTTATGCAACTGGCTCTGTTTACCCTTGGAAGATGTCCCATCAGATGAAACGCATAGGGTGGAGCCTAGTTAGTGGAGAACTGGCAAGCACTTGTGATATGCTCTTGGTTTGCTTTTTCTTGTAAGTACACACTCTTATCTCTTAATAAATGGTGTCATAACATACAGTACTTCACTATTGGTACTCTCCTTGGGTGAGAGTGATATTGCCCGATATTTGTGTGGGTTATATCTAGTGGGGATCCAGAAACTTAGAGGGCCAAGCCATTTTTGCATTGAGGGACTGAACGTGGTTACTATCCATCCATTTTGGGATTTGTCCCCAAGCACTTTCAGACCTCCTTGTGTTTGACATTTGAGAATCTGGTAGGGAGCTGCATGTTTTTAATGGTGGCTGGCACACTATATTGGTGTGAAGATACAATTTTAAATCGTGGTGGACTTTATAATTTTGGAATTGATTCATTTGGGACTATTTATATTGTTTGTTTTTTTGGACACATTAATAGGTGATTGATATGCTTATAACTGGTAGTGCAACACATTTTTGTTTATTTGTATTTTGGATATTTTTGTGTGTTTAAATATTGCTGAATGCTGCTGCTACTCTGATTTGTATTGTATTTTATTTGGGCACTTTTTAGCACAGGATTTCACTTGTTTTATCATTTACCATATAGTTAGTCTGGCTGAAAAAAGACAAAAGTCCATCCAGTTCAACCACTTAATTAAAAAAAAAAGTTATAATCCTACACCCACAGTTGATCCAGAGGAAGGCAAAAAAAAAAACACAGCAAAGCATGACCCAATTTGGTCCTGCAGGGAAAAAATTCCTTCCTGATCCCCCGAGAGGCAATTGGATATTCCCTGGATCAACTATACCTATAAATATTAGTATCCAGTTATATTCTGTGTATCTAAGAGAGAATCCAGGCCTTTTTTAAAGCAATCCACTGAGCTGGCCAGAACCAACTCTTGAGGGAGTCTATTCCACATTTTCACAGCTCTCACTGTGAAGAAACCTTTCCGTGTTTGGAGATTACATTTCTTTTCCTCCAGATGTAAAGAGTACCCCCTTGTCCTCTGTGATGATCTCAGGGTGAATAGCTCTACACCGAGTTCACTATATGAACCACTGATGTATTTATACATGGTGATCATATCCCCCCTTAATCTCCTCTTCTCAAGAGAGAATAAATTCAGTTCCTCTAATCTTTCCTCATAGCTGAGCTCCTCCATGCCTCTTATCAGTTTGGTTGCCCTTCTCTGTACTTTCTCCAGTTCCCCAATGTTCTTTTTGTGAATTAGTGCCCAAAACTGAACTGCATATTCCAGATGAGGTCTTACTAATGATTTGTACAGGGGTAATATGATATCTCTTTCTCTGGAGTCTATACCTCTTTTAATACAAGAGAGGATTTTGCTTGCTTTAGAAACTGCAGTCATTATTGATCTAGTGATCTACCAGAACTCCTAGACCCTCCTCCACCATTGATCATCATATCATAATTTAGCATATATCATCAGTCTGCTAATCAACCTTTTGATCATCAAATGCTTCTCTATGGACCATCCATTTCTCTCCCAATGTTTGCAGCCACTAGAGAGTTGCCAAAAATCTGTGTGTCAAAATTGATCAGAAATTATGGCACAGCAAGAACAACATGTGAACCTTGGTACAAAGAAAATAACAAGAAGATAAAATAATATACATAGCACTTCAGACTTCATATGTCTTTGCTGTCAGGGCTTTTTCTGGAATTCAAAGCCAGATAAGTGTAAAGAACAAAGGAGAGAATAATGTATTTTCATTAAAGTGACAAGGTAATGTGATTTTACATTGTATTATTAACTAACATTTTAGTGACAGCTTTTGGTACAGATTATTACATCAGTCATGTGAGCAAAGCCTCAGGTAGCTTTCAGCAATACTTTAGAGTTTAGACTTAATTGCTTCACTAAGGTACAGTTGGGTTTAGGATTTGGTTAAAATATAAAGAGAGGAGAGATAGGGTTAAGTTTAGTCTTAGATTAAATGTTAATAGTTCATTTTCAGAGTTACAAGCCTCTTGACTATGTTTTTGTGAGAATTGTAGGTGACTCCAGGGCTTAGGACTGGTGTGCAGAAAGCCCACTTTCTTCAAATTTAATAAGTCAATACTGGGTCCTTGAGTCCAGAGGCTTTGTAGAGCTTTGAGTACGAATACGCCTCTATTCCTAGGTCCACATCTTTTCTGGTAGCCAGACCTCTTTATTAGTCTTAGCTTCCTTTAAAGCCTTTTTATATGTGAGCTGACCTTTGCCCAGAGCTCCCTCTATCATGCTTTCTGCTGTGGGAGCTTTCTGCTGGGTGAAAAGGCTGAGTGCTGACACTTAGAAGATACAGTTACTACCTGTTTGTTTTGGGAAATCCCTGACCTGTGTTTAATTAGTTGCTAGCAGATGTTTTGCTTGTTTTATTGCTATGGAGCTGCTGAACAAAGCCCCCTGCATTGAAAGTGTGTTTGTTTCCATACTAAATAAAAATGCAGGACTTGGTATTAAGGTGAATGGCTGCAGGAAGGGGCAGATCTGTGTCAGTGACCTGTGAGTACAGCCAAGAACTACAAAGGCAACAGGTTTTACATCAGGGGTGCTCAACCTTTTGAAAAAACGAGGGTCACGTAAATGATTTTGTAACTGGTTGGGGGCCATAATGAAATGAAATGGTTCGGAATTTAATTTTTTTTTTCTGAGTAACATAATTAACATTTCCTCCTGCAGCCAGTGAGAGGAGAAGCTGTCTTTCTGAGGTTGCAGGAGGAAAATAGACAGGATTGGTTCCTGTATGTGCTGCTCCTGCTGCCCCTCCTGTCCAAGTGTCAAATAGGATGTGACAAGGAGACCACATGGGCCCCCTGGAGCATGTGGCGGCCCTGACGCTACACCAGTGGTTGGGGGGGTGATAAAAACACATCTCAACTATGGGGTTTTACTTCCCCCCCCAAAAAAAGCAAATGTAAATAAGCCCTTATTGTCCTGAACCCCCTATAAGCCTGCTTTGACACTGATGCGCTGCAGTTTACCAGCACCATGGGTGCAGCATAGTGCGGCTTTTCTGCAGGTTAGGTGAGCTTTGCCATAGACTTCTATTATATCTTGTGGGTGTGGTACATTTCTTGAAAGTGCACCAAACCTGCAGGGATATAAAAGGAGTCTAGGGTCCTTGGTTTGAATCCCAGCCACGGAACCTCCTGCCTGGAGTTTGCATGTTCTCCCTGTGCCTGCGTGGGTTTCCTCCGGGTACTCCGGTTTCCTCCCACACTCCAAAGACATGCTGGTAGGTTAATTGGATCCTGTCTAAATTGTCCCTAGTATGTGTATGTATGAATGTGAGTTAGGGACCTTAGATTGTACACCCCTTGAGGGTTAGGGACTGAAGGGAATGTACAATATATATGTAAAGTGCTGTGTAAACTGACAGTGCTATATAAGTACCTGAAATAAATAAATAAATAAATAAATGTCTCAGTGCAGCTAACCCACAGGTAAGCAGCAAGTGCACTGCACTGCATCCGTGGATCTTTGTGAAAGCAGCCTAATAGTTTTTATCCCTTTTATAGGTGCTAATATACCCATTGCATAAGCGCAGTGTATGTGTTGTTTAACACACTGGCCTTCTTTTCCTCTTCCAGCTTCTGCTGGCAACACTCTGCATCTCCAGGCTGCTGGAAAGATCCCAAGCGAAGTACACTTGATATCTCTCGGCTTATGTGCCTCCTGCTCCCTCCATGGCTGTTTGCTTCCTTCTCTGCCAGCTTGATGTACTTTGACGCTCTGGGATGGCGTATTGGCAAGCCCAAATTACAATCAATGGGTTGCTGACCCCAGGCATGGTTTGAGGTCGCATGCCACATCAGAGGGCCACATGTGGCCTGTGGGCCACGGGTTAAGCACTCCTGTTTTACATGACTGTATCATCTTTAAGTCAGAATTGTAGTCAGGAAGCTGAGAATGACCCTGGGTGATTTACAGTCTAAACAAAGATGGCACCATTCTTCTAGCGAGAAAAATAGATGTAACACTTTCAGGGCGAATACTGTGATATCAGTTAGAGGTATTAAATACTTGTAAAAATTATTATGTTCATGTTAAGGAGCATGAAACAAGAAATGTCTGATGCTAATGTTCATATTATCTGGTGGTGGCAACGGGTGGCAGAGGAACACATCTGTTTTAGCAGGAGGACTGAAACTGGTTGATGGGAACCAGGGGCGGACTGACAACTCATAGGGCCCCCGGGCAATAGGGGATCATGGGGCCCCTGTGTCCTTGCCCAAACTCAAAAAAGCCTATGAAAAAGGTACCAGGGGCATCTCATGGGGCCAGCCCCGGGCAATAAGGGATCATGGGGCCCCTGTGTCCTTGCCCAAACTCAAAAAAGCATATGAAAAAGGTACCAGGGGCATCTCATGGGGCCCCCTACCAGGGGCGGACTGACCATTTGGAAACTCGGACACTGCCCGAGGGCCCGGGGTCAGTAGGGGGCCCCATGAGATGCCCCTGGTACCTTTTTCATAGGCTTTTTTGAGTTTGGGAAGGACACAGGGGCCCCATGATCCCCTATTGCCCTGGGGCCCCATGAGTTGTCAGTCCGCCCCTGCCCCCTACTGACCCCGGGCCCACGGCAGTGCCCGAGTTTCCAAATGGTCAGTCCGCCCCCGGTGGGAACACAGCTAGGTGCTATAGCAATGAGCTCTTAGAGTTCACAGAGATTTAGGAACCCAGAGGGAGACATAGAGAAAGGCCAAAACATTTAGGTGAATGCTGTGACACTAATGTAATATAAGAAGTAGAAGATAAAATCAGCGTTCTCACACAATGGGGTTGATTTACTAAACCTGGAGAGTGGAAAATCCGGTGTATCTGTGCATGGTAGCCAATCAGCTTCTAACTTCAGCTTGTTGAATTAAGCTTTGATAAAAAAAACCTAGAAGCTAATTGGTTGCTTCACCAGATTTTGCACTCTCCAGTTTTAGCAAATTATCAGTATCTTTATTTCACTGCACAAAGGGTAATATTCCCCTTAAGGCTTTCCCCTTAAAACCAGTCAGATCATAGTGGACATCATTCCTAGTTCATTCTACTATATTAAATAAATTTGTTAAAAAAGGGAGCTTTGTTTAATATATACAATATATACAATGTATATTTCATTAGAGTCTCATTATATAATTTGGGGAGGCAAGAACAATAGTTAAAACTGGCACACAGCAAAAATTATTCCATTATTCACTGCAGGGAGGACGAAGCATTTTCGCCCCCAGACCTGACCATTTAGACACAGACCAGGGGCGGACTGACCATTTGGAAACTCAGTCAGTAGGGGGCCCCATAAGATGCCCCTGGTACCTTTTTTTTTTTTGAGTTTGGGCAAGGACACAGGGGGCCCATGATCCCCTATTGCACGGGGGCCCCATGAGTTGTCAGTCCGCCCCTGACACAGACTGAACATTTTAACTTTATGACAAGTAAGAGTGAAAGGCAGGGTGGAGGGCATCATGATTGATGATGGATTTACAACAAGGAACTTCATTTGGAATTGTTTTTGTTTGTGAAAGGGTAGGGGTACTGGGTACTCTTACTCAATCACATAGGGGGAGCCAGCCTTATTTTTGAAGGGGGCTTCCAGATTCTGATAAGTCCCCTGCCTGCAGTCCCCCACAACCACTAGACCAGGGTGTAGCTTGACGTTTGTGGGCCCAATGCAAAATTGATCTGGGCCTCCACTACCACCCGCCACTTCCACCAAGTGCCAATATATTCCCACTGTGCGTCAAGAGCCTAAAGAGGTATTTCAGATCTTTATTTACATATTGAGAAGGTAATTAAATATTTTGGAGAAACTCTCCACATTTTGACATACTTATCCAATTTATTTTAATACCCTGGAGCAGGTGTAGGCAACCTTTGAGAGGTGGAGATCTACCTGTACAACAGGACAGGGATCAAGATCAGTGGACTGTGGTGCCCTTAAAAAAAAAAAAAAAAAAAAAAGGCCTAATTAAATAATTAGGAAAATGTAGAAAAATATAATAAAGCAAATGTCGCTGTACAAATATAAACTACCCTACCTTAAAAGTGGACAATGTCAGTCAGTGGAGCAGTGGACAGTGTCAGTAGGGCAGTGGATGGTGTTTATAGGGCAGCAGTTGGTGTTAATAGGACAGTAGATGGTGTAAGTAGGGCAATAGATGGTGTCAGTATAGCGGTGGGCAGTGTCAATAGTGAATTGGATGGTGTCAGTAGCGCAGAGGTTGGAGTCGATAGGATAGTGAATGGTGTCAGTCAGTAGAGCAATGAACAGTGTTAGTATGGCAGTAGACTTTGTCAGTAGAGCAGTGAATGTGGTCAGTAGGGCAGAGGTTGGTGTCAGCAGGGCAGTGGGTGGTGTCAGTAGAGCAGTGGGCGGGGTCAGTAGGGCAGTGAACAGTGTCAGACTCTCATTGGCAAGCACTCTGTGCCTTAAACAAGGTCGTCAGGCTCCTCTACTAGGTACATGACACACACTCTCAGGCTATGGTTTTGTCTTCCACATTTTCCTTGCACTTAAACTACATACATTCAATTTAAAAAATACTACACTTAAGAAAATGCACAAACATTCCCAAAATCCTCAATTTCTCCATTTTCTTTATGAATGGGCAAAGGGTTTCAAGCAATAAATAAAGCCAATGGATGTGACTGTTAGGAACTGACAAAATAGATCCTCATTCACCTTTGTAGCTATAGGCATTTTGGAGAAATTAATTTCAAGTTCAAAACACAGGCACAGCAATCTCAGCATTTTAACACAAAAGCCTTCTAAATTAAACAGATTTTTCTCAGCTGTTAGAAACCAAATGAAAGTCAAACTAGAGTTTCTCTTGTGATCTTTAAAGGTCTTTGAGAAAACCTTTTCTATAGTCCTAATAAACAAGTCTTCATTTTTTTCTGCCTAAAAAAAGATCAATACTTCTGACAATGCTACAAAATATTGCATATACACAAGGACAGTTTTCCAAGTGAAGTGGCAGGGAGACAATGATTATTCTGGTAAGTAGGCAGAGTTGCGTTGGCAAGGCAATGTATCGATTCTGTTCCATAATATTATACATATACACAATTCCCTCACAAAACAAACCTCTGAGACATTTCGTGACTAAGTGCGTGGAAAGATAACATTGCCATTTACTCACGTGTGACTCATACTTCTCAGTCAATATATAGCCATGAAATTACATAGCAGATACAACTCTTCACAAAGGGTTCTTGGGGATCGTGGGACCTCGCTTCCACTTCATATGATTTGGACTCTTCTGCAAACCCACCAGAGGAACCTGTCAAGAAGTAAGCTACTTGAATTTGTTAACTTGCCCTTAAAGGTGAAAGCTCCAGAACTATAATCCTTAACTCCGTGTCACTATTTATAATATATCTATCTAACATGTTTGGTAATTTGTATTGCTTTCTGTGTAAGCACAGGAGAGATTTACCCCCTTTATTAGTCTTCATCCCATGGGAATGCAGGCCGAACCTTTTCTTCCTCTCTCGAATACTCAATATATAACTATCTAAATAAAAACACACACAAACAATCTTTAATGGCAAAAGTTTGGCCACGGCACTTTATTTGTTTAAATAAATAAATAATATCAAATACTATAAATAATTAATTAATAATCAAGTTTATACTTCTCTTATCAAATAACAATCAAATAGTTCAGTCGTTAAGGACTCGAGCTGAAACTGAATACATATAACAACAGTCCCCCCTTTAAATGTAAAGGGTGACAATACCACATAACATGCCTTGCGACAAAAAAGGGGAGGGGGGGAGGGAGCTCGTTGCACTGACACTGACCAGCTGGCAATCTCCCGCCAACGGAGCTCCTTTATATAATGGGCCTCACTTTCTAGAACTTTCCAGTAGTTATGTGACATTCTGGAATTTTCTCCCAGATCACGTGCTACTTGTTTTCCCGCCCATATATATATATGTATATATATGTGTGTGTGTATGCATATATAATTTTTTTTTTTTTTAATAAAAGAGGGAGGGGCAGCCGCCCATGTTATCTGGCCCAAATGATTAAGCCCTTTTAATGCATTCTCACTGCAACAGAAGCTTATGGGTAATTTTAAATTTTAAACTGTCACCAGAACAGGATTAAAGGGGAACCTTCCAATGTGGATGCCTCTTTTGATTACAACAGTGTTTTGCTGAATTGCTTAATAACAGGGGCTTTGCTCTGAGTTGAAGTCAAAGCTTATGCAGAGAATGAGCCTGGGTAGAGTTTCCTGGGCACATTACCCTCTTACCATCCATATAACGCATATGTGTGATGGCAAAGAGGGTAGACTTTAAAAAATAAGTTCACCTTTGGGAACATGTAACAGGTTCCCACTGCTAGCAGCCGCCACCCACTGTCCTCTCTCCCTGCAACAGCAGCATGGGGAGAAGTTCCCCATACTAGTTTTCACTTTTTGAAAACAACACGGCCACGTCATTCGTTCACAGAGTTCTGTAAATGAATGAACTACAAGTCCTAACAGCCTTTGCAGATTTCAATGAACTTCTGTTTTCTGTTGAGTGCTGTGGTAGTTCATTGATTCTTTCTGTCATAGTGTATCTGCTTGCCCGTATGAGGTACGAGCAGAAAGACACACTGACCAGTTTGCAGGAGTCCTCCATGGCACCAGTGATCTGTTGATGCAATGCTTTCCAGGCTTCTGAAGAAAAAATAGTAAATGCACATTTTTTAACTGCAAAGTGAATTTATTCTTTAATGCTCACACGCCATACATATGGGTCCATGAGCGGCCAAGGTTTCTGTGTTGGGAGTGTGCATTGAGTGCTGTTATAGACTGTTTTTGGCCTTTGATTATGATTGGTAGGTTGGGCTCCCAATCATGTGGCCAATGTGACAGCCAATCACAATGGTCACATGATCAGGAAGTCTGTCCTGCCCACTGGCACAGAGATCCACTTAAAGGGATACTGGAGCTGGGTGGGAGGGGGTTAAAAGTGATTTGAAGCTACCGTTAGACATTTGGGGGTTGATTTACTGAAACTGGAGAGTGCAAAATCTGGTGCAGTTCTGCATAGAAATCAATCAGCTACAAGGTTTTGTTGCCAAAACTTAATTGAACAAGCTGAAGTTAGAAGCTGATTGGCTACCATGCACAGCTCCATCAGATTTTGCACTCTCCAGTTTTAGTAAATCAACCCCTGTGTGCTTGATTGTCAATGTTATATTTAACCCTATACACTTGAAGTAGAACTCCAGGCAGACAGATGCCTGTTGACTCCCATCAAATGTAAATGCTTTTCTCGTCACCTTCATTGGGTGCTGGTACAGAGCAAATATACTATCTGCAGCACCAGTAAGAGATGACTATGTAAAAGAAGGGATGCTGGGGAATCCAGGAGACATACAACCCCCTTTCTTTCTCCTATAAGCTCTGCACTGACAATGAATTATTGTAGTTGCTCGGCTTGCCAGAAGATCTCATAATGCATATTCATGACTCAGGAAAATCTAAACTGCTTTGGTAAGTCCCAATGCTGCTTTACATCACCTCTGTGTAACTACACTAATGAAAAGTGCTCCATGTTGATGTGCTGGGTCTCCCCTTTTAGGGCTTGCACAGGGTGCATCGATGCTTCTCCATGTGCACAATCATGTAACCAAACGATGGACCAGCAAGAGGTGGGGGGACCACAGCAAAGGATGTGGTCCAAAAGTCATACTTTTATAGCTTCTTTACCAGGGGCGGACTGACCATTTGGAAACTCGGGCACTGCCCGAGGGCCCGGGGTCAGTAGGGGGCCCCATGAGATGCCCCTGTTACCTTTTTCATAGGCTTTTTTGAGTTTGGGCAAGGACACGGGGCCCCATGATCTCCTATTGCCCGGGTGCCTCATGAGTTGTCAGTTCGCTCCTGTTCTTTACTAAGGAGATTTTAGCTGTCAGAAAAAAGCTATTGCTCAATATTTTCACATATAGTACTTCCAGCATAGTCCTTGATACAGTATATGCATTGCAGTTTTTCCTTTACTCACCATGGCTTGAGAAAACGGTGAGGTCTAACAAATTATAATGATTGGCAGCTAGGTACTTATCAATTCTGAGCTGGAAGGGACAAAGGATGAACTCTTCTTTCTTCAGCAATGTCTGCTAAACTTCTGCTAAAACCAAAAAGTGTATTTTTTTATTTTGCCTTGCAAGGTTTTGGTTGCTATTCAAATCCTACAAGAATTTCTTTCACTTTCTGGCCTGTAGACCCAATAAAAAGTGTGAGAAACCCTCCCCAATGTGAGGGAAATCTCCTCTTAGGCCTGGTTCACAACTATGCGATTTTTAGTGCTTTTTACATTTTGCAGAAACTCACTGCAGTCCATTTAACATGGTTTCCTGTGGAACACGTTCAGATCTGTGTGTTTTCAGCCGCTGCATTTATGGAAAGGGTCAGGGACTTTTTAATCCCTCAGCAGATTGCAACACGCCTAGGTGTTAACCAGGCCTGAAATCTAGTACACACGATGAGAATATCGAACAAATGATTGTCCCTTTTTTTTCACGCTAGTCTCATATCAAAAATGAAGAGGTTACTAAAGTTACAAAAATTCTTGTAAGTCAGAAAAACTTTGGAAGTGATGTAATGTATGCAATGTTTTCATTTGTTTCCGAGCGTGTGTGGTGTTGGTCACTCAATTTTTTTCGTACAAATACTATATTAATTACACAAAAATTGTTTGTACTGTTATCTTGTGGGAAAGATTTTTGTGTTTGTCCCTACAGATAATCTTGCATGAAATGTAATGATCAGCTCTTGAAATCTGTGTAATAACGATCGGATTATTAGACGATCAATCGGAATGCTTTTTTTTTCGGCTGATATTTTCATTGTGTGTACGAGGCCTTATTAGACAGTTGTCACCAGAAAACTGAAAGATTTCCCCTCTATTTCAGTTCTGGTGGCAACATAGAATTTTAGATTGTCCTCCACTTTCTTTCCGGTGACAATGGTCACCAGGACATATAGGGAGAGTGGATCTCCAAAGCAGGGACACAGATGACAAAAAATCTGACTATCCAAAAATAAAAATAATGGCTGAAGATGCATTTTTATTCTTGACTTTAATTTATAAGAGGACTGGAACTCACCCCATATAGATACAGCCCAGTGGTGGAACAAAGTCATCTAGCACCCAGGGCAAAGATGCCAAATGGCACCCCCCTTTTCCACAATGTAACAGCATTTTGTGTCAGTAAGAATCCCCTCCCTCTCCATGCAGCACCCCCACCCCCACATGATACCACAGCGCCCAGGACAGCTTCCCTCCTGCCCTCCCCTTGTCCCAGCCCTGCTACAGCCTTTCTCAACAGGGGTTCCATGAAACCCTAGGGTTCCTTTGCAGGTTTCTAGGGGGTTCCTTAAGCACTGAGAAATATTTGCTTCTCAGAAACCAATGACATCAGTGATCTATTAACTGCTTGTTAAGTAGGGAATTCTTCACAATGACCACAAGTGTAAGGATTATTCTTCCCAGAGACCATCAAGCTTATAATCCATGATATAGTAATTATTAGAAACTGGACAGGTATTTCAAGGATTCCTCAAAAAATGTTGGAAAAGGCTGATTTATTGATATAATTGATATAAAGAAATGTGTTGATATTATTTTTTAGCCATTGCTCCCTGTTTTGTTTTTTTTATTTCATTTTTATGGTCCATTCACACCATTTGCGGTGTTCCAGTTGCTGTTTCAGTGCAGTCAAACCTCAAAACAAGAAAAAAATGCCTTGTCTCATGCGCCTGGGTGAAAAAGCCTTCATGTAATATTTGTAGGGAGTATTGTTTTAGGTTTGCTCATCAGGAGCATGAATAGTCATGAACTTACTATGATAACTTAGCAGCTGAAGATAATAATACCACATCAGGGGCGGACTGACCATTTGGAAACTCGGGCACTGCCCGAGGGCCCGGGGTCAGTAGGGGGCCCCATGAGATGCCCCCGGTACCTTTTTCATAGGCTTTTTTGAGTTTGGGCAAGGACACAGGGGCCCCATGATCCCCTATTCCCCGGGGGCCCCATGAGTTGTCAGTCTGCCCCTGTACCATATACATTATCTTCTTATGAGTCTGTGGCACTTTAAATGTATGACCACAGGGCTACCGATCAGACTGTCCTTAGTAGAAACTGCCCTCTGCTATCCTGTAAAAGTAAACAGCAGGTACATGAAAGACACAACTATGCTGACTAGCTAAACACAGAACATAGCCCCCTCCCTTTGAATATCTAATCCGCAAAGATGTAGTATTAGTGGGGTAACGAAAGACTTAGAGGAATATCATTCTTGTCAATATTTTCACTGTGTTCCAAAATCTGCTCAATACGTCTGTTGTATTTCTTCATAAACATTTCATGGTCTCTATGGCAACCAGGATAACACATGGCAGACACCACTACTGGGATGAAAAACAGAATTCTAGATTAGGCACGGGAGTACTCATAATTTTATTTGGTTTAATACAGCACTCAAATATTGCCCATCCTCTTTAGCTAAATGATTTTTATAAAATGTTAAGGTTTTTATTCAAGTCTGCGTTATTTAATACATTATTGCATGCATAAGAATTACAGTAATAAAAGAACCTAGTTGCCGAAAATAGGAGTTCCCAGGAGGGGCTTGTCTTCTGTATGTCACAAATTAGGGAATCAGCTCCTACTAGCTCCAACTATGGGGCAGACTAGGCAACCAGGAGTAGCTAGCAGCAGTCACACTGTAAAGCAGGCCATACATGGGTCAAATTCCGAACGATTTTTTCAATTGAAAACATTGTGCGTTCTGTAATCCAGTGGTGCCACCAATGATTTAGAAAATTGGTCGTTTTCACAAATTTTCCAGCATGCCCGTTAAACAAAATGGGTAGGAACCACTAAAATCGGCCGGTGACATTGCCCCACTAACAAAGCGAAAATCAGCCGATTATTCTTAGGTCCAATTTTCGAATGAAAAATTGTTAGAAATTCAAGCCATGTATGGCCGGCCTTAGTCAGCCATGTAAGAGACACTGGTGGCTACAAAGAGTCTGGGATGAGCTTTGATACCTGAAGGCCCTTTTGTAGAGAACCCAGGGTGTTCACATGACAGCGGGAAGTGAGAGCCTTTAGAAGGGCCAAGGTGTAGAGTCCAAGGTCCTGTCTGGTCTTCACCGGAGCTTCTGATGGTGGAGATAGGTTCGGTTGCAGGCGATGTCCAGGTTGCTGAACTCTGACTCACCTAAGCAGGCAGGCACTAGGAACCGAGAACAGGGTAGTGGGCAACATAGTCCAAGCAGGCGGCTTTGCACAAACACACAGGGACCTGGAAAAGAATAGAGATGTACAGAATCACAGGGGGTCACCCAAAGCAGGAGCAGTGCAATGGATCACTGGAGTAGGATCTGGACAAGAAGTGCCCAGGTGTTTGCAACAAGTGGCTGGCAGAAACACTCCGGGAACCAAAAAGGTGGTTTGCAGTGCTTGGCATTGGATACCCAAGGCAGTGGGTAACACAGTGGGAGCATGGAACACACAGATTCACAGAGGAGAGACACAGGCTAAGATTCCATGTACACTGCAGCTGATAAACTCACGTTTAGGAGCTTTTCTGCGTTTTTTTCAGCAGCCCCTGAACTCTCCCTAATGTTTTCCTATGTGTCCATGTACACATCGTCGTTTACAGTCATTTACAGGCAGTTGAGTTTACAATCGTTTTTTTGAACTCACCAAAACTTGCGTTGAGGAGTAGATTTTATCAGCGTTTCAAACGCCAAACCCTTGTAAACGCGTGTAAACATGGCTAACTGCATTTATAAGCGTTTGTGTTTGGAGATTTTTTTTTAACTCTTCCATTTCCAGATGCTGTCCAGAGCCTTTCTTCATCATGAAAAGGATTCGCATGAAAGAAAATATGTTGGACACTGCTGCGATAATTTCTGCACAGAAATGAGCTGGAACACATCCAAACACCACAAAAAAAAAAGACAGCTAATCTCAACACATACTGCTTTCTCTGCTTCTGCTCTCTCTATTTCTCTCAAAATGTCTGAAATAGTTAATTTTTTTTACTGTTTTTCAGTGCATTCTGGGCATTTTGGAAGGTCTCCTGAGGTTATCTTTAAAAAAACGCTTCTAAACGCAAACGCTCATGAACGCGCAGAATTGCAGTATGCAAACGCAGCTAAACACACGTTTATTAACCTACGTTTTCCAGCAGTCAGTTTCCATCGTTCAGAAGTATCCCGTGTACATTGAGCCTAAGAGTGCACAGGGGCTGATAATGGGAGACTGGCTGGAACTCGCAGGAAACGCAGTGGTGCAGAGTAGAAGGTAACTGACTGGAGTGCAGAGGAAGACATAGTGGTGAAGGAAGACTGGATGCATGGGGTCACTGGAGCAGACAGGAACACTGGGATCACTTTGCTGGATGCAGGCTGGGACCAGAGATGGACTAACAACTCATTGGGCCCCCAGGCAATAGGGGATCATGGGGCTCCTGTGTCCTTGCCCACACTCAAAGCACACCCAAAAAAGCCTATAAAAGGTACCAGTGGCATTTCATGGGGCCGCCTACTGACCCCGGTCCCTCAGGCAGTGCCCGAATGCTCAAATGGTCTATCCGCCCCTGGCTGGGACACATTGGCAATGCAAGGCTGGTTGCACTGAAGACACTGAAGGCACACATGAGCTGGATACAGACTGGATGAACACTAAGAACACTAAAAGTCATGGAAACAACACTGAGAAACACAAGAAAAAAGAAAGTCACCAGGCACAAGGGGGCCTGGCTGCTAGCCAAACACATTGGTCAAACACTGAGAAACCTGCATGCGAGCACTAAGATAGTGCCTTCAATTTGCCTTCACTTCAGAGGTCCATGAAGGCCTATTTAAAGCTTATTTACTGATTGCTAAGAATATGTAAATATTTAAATATCTATAGCCACTTGCTTTATGGAAGATTTACCCCCCCTTCATAACCAGGCCATTTTTTGCTATATGGCGCTGTGCTACTTTAACCGTCAATTGCGCAGTCATGCAACACTGTACACAAATTACATTTATATAATTTTTCTTTTGGTGGTATTTGATTACCACTGGTTTTTTTGTTTTTGTTTTTTTGTGGTATAAATGAAAAAAGACAAAAAACACAATATTTTTTACTTTTTGCCATAAAACATATCCAATAAAAAAAAATTTCTAACAAATTTAGGGCAAAATGTATTCTCCTATATGTCTTTGGTAAAAAAAAAAATCCCAATAAGTGTATATTAATTGGTTTGCATGAACATTATAGTGTCTACAAACTATGATATAGATACTGGAATTTTTTTTTTTATTTAATACTAGTAATGGTGGCAATCAGCAACTTATAGCGGGACTGTGATAGTACGGCGGGCATTCTGACACTGGGTGGGAACTGACTAACTGACATCTTCAGTAACACTAATACAGTGATCAGTACTAATAAAAAGCACTGCCACTGTACTAATGACACTAAGCAGAAAGAGGTTAATATGTGGGTTGATCAAAGGTTAACAGTGTGCCAGGGAGTGTTTTTTACTCTGTGCTGTATGTTTTACTAGAGGAAGAGCTGGTTTTTATCTCCTTGTTTGCATTATCTCCCTTGCTTTACATTCACAGTTCTCTCCCCTGTCATTTGCTTCACTGATTGCTGGGTCCCTTCTATAAATTGCTGGTCAGGATTGGCATGTACGGGAGCCAATGACTGCACGAGTAGGTGGGTACGCATGCACCCCCTACCCAGAAAAGCAGAATCACATGTATATACCTGATTCTGCACAGGGTAGCCACCCTGTAGCAGTAAAACTACATGGGCTGGTCCGCAACTGGATAACCTGGCCACATGTTATTTAATGCAAGATAAACTAAGCAGTCTCAATTGTGCACTAAAATGACTACTTTAATGCCTGAAACTCATTGATGAATCAGCCACGAAATGCTCATGGAGTGTACAGTATGCACGATTATTTGCAAGTGACAACGTTTGTGCATTCATGTCACATGCGCAAACACTTACTCTTATTACATCATCAGTAGTGGAATGTTAAAGGAATTATGAACCTTTCTACCTGCACCTTTTTTTTGTGCATGGCAGCCATCATTTTGGAGCCCCTTACACAGCTTTATGCCTGGGCCCCACTGGACCTTCCCACCGAATCCACTCACTGGCCATCCCACCGGGTCCTTCAGTGCACCCACTTTTTTTTAACACTCTTAGAACTTAATAAATGAAAATAAGAAGCGTGTCATCAGTGCTTTCAATATTTAACAAAAGTGAATAATATTTTGGCCACAAAATATAAAGCCTTCCACCACTACAAGGTAGACTCTTTTGAACAGGACGCTGCACTTACACTAACTGCATTACCTTTTCATCACATTAGCACTCCCACATTTGTGCAAAGCCATGGATAGGACACTGCGTGACCCAGAACAAGAAGTTGCCTGTTCCTAACGACAAGTAAGGTGAATTATTACATGGACATAGGGGAATGAACTAGTCATGTCACTATCTGCAGCCATAGCAGAAAAGCCCATAATTACAGTACAAGGTAAGGCAAATAATTATGACCCAGGGCATATAACTACTCTTAATATCTAGTTAAAACAACGACAACGTTTAAAAATGCACAATGCTATTAAAATGAATTAAGTTTAAAGGAAATAAAGTTAGAATTTAAAAAAAGAATGCCAAAAAATACATATAGGTCCATTTCTCGCTATAAAGCTAATTGTGTCCTCTGTAGCATTTTGAATCTTTGATAGAAATAATAGCTAGCCTCTGAAGTCTTGTGCTTTACGTATATCTGAGTACCTTATGTCTGAATGTTAAAAGAGGAATATTACTTTTTCTGTAATTTTGCATTTCTTAAATAATCCACTTCAGTGAGCATTCCATAACATTCTGATAGGAATAATGATTCACTTCTGATGTCCAGGGATCTGCAGCAAAGGTACTGGCAACAAATAGCACAGAGAAGCTTGAGTGGAAATAATTGTAGGGATGGCATGCTAGGAAGCTTTCAAGCTGACTTTGATTTTTCTGATTGTTTCTTTTTTTGCCATAGTTGATCTTTTATTAATCTCTTACCCATTCTCTGAATGCAATGTTAAGGCCTAATGTCAACTAAAACTTATTTTAGACATAGATGGAGCGGGAAAAGGATAGAGTCTATGTAAACATGTGGTGCCCAGGTGGCGGTTGTTAGACAGAACAAGAAGTGAAGAGAAATACCATCATTGGGAACAAAGCATTTAAAAGTTTACAGAAGTTCTAACCCCTTCCCCGCTTTATCCAAAACTAGAACAAACTTTAAACTGGAACTGGAATTTAAAACAGAAATTCAACCTAATGGAGAAGTTCTGCGTTTTCCATTCTCCCCCCTCCTATTCTGTTTTTGGCACTTTTTGGGTGGCCAACTTAGGATCACCGCAGCGATCCCCTGGATGTCCCCCCCCCCCTCCCCTGTAACCTTCTGGGACACATCACAGGTGCCAGAAGGCTGCAGGACCATTCACAAAGTGCAGTACAGCTCTCGCATGCACAGCGGGCAGCCGGCTGTAAAGCCGCAAGGAGTAATAGCTGACTGCCCATAGTAAACATGTTTGTGCTGGGGACTCAAAGAGTGGCAAAAAAGCAATTTGTGCATTAGTGTGTACACTGATTGACACCCTTCTGCATTGTACTCTAAGGTAGGACCCGGTTGAGGCCTTGTTAAATAAACCCATACAAGTGGTCCACAAAAAGCAGGCTAGACTAATCACCTTTCTTTTCATTGCTACTAAGCAAACTATTGCTCACTCTTGTAAGTCTCCCACTCTTAATTTTCAGGAAGTCAAAACTCGCCTGAATAGCATCATGGTCAACAAAAACTTGATGGCTATATTGGAAGACAAATATGACAAATTCTTGAAAATCTGGTCTCCATAAATAGATTATTATCAACCACACCACAGGGCACTGCAGTTGTGACCTCTCCCCCATCCCTTTTTAGAAGTGCAATTGAGGCTTTAAGCTAGTGCACTGTTCAGAGGCTTTTTTTTTCCTTCCTTTCTCTCTTTTCCCTCTCCTTCCCCTCTTTCCCCTTCCCTCTTTTGTCCCCCCCCCCCCTTTCTTGTGTGTTTTTGTACTAACCTGCTTTTATCCTGCATGTTTCGGTTACCACAGAGAGTAACTATGCCGCGACCTACCCAATCCTTTTTATGTTATGGTGATATACCTCAATGGTAAGTTCTCTCTATGCATCCTCCAGGCCGGATACTGAACCCTGATTTTCTCCAGGTCTGGCACGTTGTCCTTTCTTATACGACTTCTTTGATTATGGACTCATGGACCAGCGGTGTCCTATGTGTTTATAGGAATGTTTGTTATTGGTACTGGGGCAGTATGGCCCCTCATGCTGCATTCTGTGAGATTCCACTATGTTCCTGTACTAAGGTTTTGCATTTTTGTAAACTTTCAGTAAGAATGTATAGACCAGAATGACTCTCCATCACCTTGTTGACATAGCAAAGAGGATCAATAAAAGTAAAAAACAAAAAAAAGGACATAAAATAAAAAACAGTAATTAAAAAAAAAAAATTTTAACATTTATTTTTTATTGTGTATTTTGTTATTTGAGTTTTTTTTTTTAAACAATAGGAAAAAGTCCATAAAGTCCAAAAAAAATTACACACGCATCCTATTATCTAAAACCCCCCCAAAAAAACAATAAAGTATACCAGTAATCTGTTAAATGGAAATAGACAAAAAGGACCAATTTTTAGAGATCACTGATCATGATCAGCGCTGTGCAGTGATGTGAATGTTGTGATGGAAAAAAATTACAACCTTACCCTAAAATGCATATACCTTTAAAGGCAATTTCGAGATGGATCGGCTTGAAGGCTTTGGCCCTTTTCACACGGGAGGACTGATAGGGTCCATTTTTCAAGTGGACCCGATCGGACCATCCATTGTTCTCTATGGGGAGGCGGATGTAAACAGACATGTGTCCGTTTACATCCGCCTACATCCAATACGATCCAATCTGCTAAAAACAGATGGATGGATGGGTGATCTGTTCCCCAGAAAGGATCGGATGACAGTCAGATGTAAATGGACAGGCAGTTGTGCCCATGTCCACTCTGCAGGGACCTGGTATCCACCTGCTCCGCGGCGATCAGCAGACAGATCCCCCGATGAGCAGGCATATGCACTTTGCGGAGTTCTCCTGTGTGAAAGGGGCCTTTCTTTTATCCATGTACAATTGAATGTATCTTTTTTGCAACAATAAAAGATATATTCTGGAGAGCACTATATTTTCTTTCTTTGTACCTTTGAGCATGAGTTATGACCCTGGAGTTTAAGCAGTATGCAGCCACCAGAGGAGAAGCAGCTGTGTCCTGGCTATAAAAAGGATAAGTGCTTGAGAACATTTATCTTTCCCACTTGCCCTGCAGAGGTTTTACCCCCCTTCCTGACCAGGCCATTTTTTTTCCATACGGCACTGTGTTATTTTAACTGACAATTGCACTGTCATACAATGCTGTACATAAATTAAATGTATGTCATTTTATTCCCACAAATAGAGCTTTCTCTTGGTGATATTTGATCATCTCTGAGTTTTTTATTTTTTGCACTATAAACAAAAAAGGACCTTCAATTTTTTTAAAAAAACTATATTTTTGACTTTTTAAAGCATATCCAATAAAAACATTTAAAAAATCAAATTTCTTCATTAATTTAGGCCAAAATGTATTCTGCTACATGTCTTTGCCAAAAAAACCCAATATGTGTAAATTAATTGGTTTATGTGAAAGTTATAGTGTCTACAAAGGGCGGTATATATACTGGAATTTGTATTTATTTATTTTTTTATACTAGCAATGGCGGCGATCAGCGACTTATAGTGGAGACTGTGGTGGGCATTCTGACACTGGATAGGAAACACCACTGGCATCTCTAGTGACACTAATACTGTGATTGGTGCTAATAAAAAGCACTGATACTGTCCTAATGACACTGGGCGGGGAGGGGTTAACATCCGGAGCGATCAAAGGGTTAACTTTGTGCAGGGGCGGACTGACAACTCATGGGGCCCCCCGGGCAATAGGGAATCATGGGGCCCCTGTGTCTTTGCCCAAACTCAAAAAAGCCTATAAAAAAGGTACCAGGGGCATCTCATCATGCCCCCTACTGACCCCGGGCCCAGTTTGCAAATGGTCAGTCCGCCCCTGACTGTGTGTTGTGTTGCGCTGTGTGCTGTTTTACTTGAGAGACATGCTGCTTTCTCTCTTTCTATGCAGAGAGAGGCAGAAAGCAGCATGTCCATGCTGACAAAAGAAAGACCTGTGTTGTTTACACACAGATCTCTTCCCTCTCAACTTTAGCGGCGATCACCGAGTGCCAATTGAGAATCCCTAGCCGGGACCCAGTGACTGACACCCACTGCAACCAATGGCAGCGTGGATAAGGTGGCACGTGCGCAACCCCCCTACCCAGAAATGCAAAATCACGTATATTTGCGTAATTTTGCACAGAGCTCCCTCCCTGTAGCCGTATATCTGCTAAAGGGTGGTGGCAGGGGTGGACTGACAACTCATGGGGCCCCCGGGCAATAGGGGATCATGGGGCCCCTGTGTCCTTGCCCAAACTCAAAAAAGCCTATGAAAAAGGTACCAGGGGCATCTCATGGGGCTCCCTACTGACCCCAGGCCCGTGGGCAGTGCCTGAGTTTCCAAATGGTCAGTCCGCCCCTGGGTGGTAGGTAAGCAGTTAAAGGTCACATCAAGACCTCATGTGTACTGGGCGTAAAAAACACCACTTTTACAATTGTTTTTTTTTGTTTTTGTTCCAGCCTATAAGAGCACCTCTATAGCCTATGTATCCATGCACACATAGGTATTTACAGCCCTATCAGAAGAGGAGCATTTACAGGCTGAACAAAAACTGCAATATGCAGCTATAGCCACACATTTTAGGTAGCTTTTCTCCTGCCATGATTTCTGGTGTTGAGAGGGAGAAAAGCAACCACCCTGTGTGCATGAGGCCTTCAAAGGCTTAGTCTACCAACAACTATTGCTTTCACTTTTAGATATATGATGGCAGAGTGATTCACACTGGGAATAACTCATTAAGACTGTAGAACAGAAAATTAAAACATAAAAAAAAATGAAAATGAAAATAGCAACTTTCAAAGTTCCACTTTTTATATCATGAACAATAGATATTAAAAAAAATCAGATTAGCTGCTAATGGCAACTGCTTTTTTTTCTGGTTTTATTGATACAGCCCCACTGGCTTCTTATACAGCCATGCTTGCAAATTTTTTGCATTGTAAAGGACTGCATACTAATTGTTATGTTCCAGAATTCATGCATAGCACTGTACTCAAAGGCTATACTGGGATTTCATTGTAATTACCAGATGCGTCCCCACTGTAGAGAAGACACATTGCATTGACTAGATTTGATACCCTGACATCAAATCCTTCTACAACCAATTAATATAGAAAGAATCTAATCGTGTCTAGAAAGTACACAAAGCCTTACAACCAGCTCCAAGTGAAGAAGAGGAAAAGTAAAAAGGAGTATCATAAAAGAATAGCTCTGGAAAATATCCTTGGATGTCTCGGATTTAGAGGCCTTTAGAAAGTTTGCTGCAAACCCAGCATGATAACGAAGGATTACAGATTGACGGAAATCAAGAGCAAGTGCTGCTTTCCACATCCAAGTGTTATTGGTGTAAACAAAAGTGCTAATCACGCTTTGAAGAAAGAGTTAAGGCATCATCATATGTACAGTTTCTATCAATCATTCATCCTATGCAACAGATCTATTCTCCTAGTGCTAAATACAAATTCTTTACAGCTGCTGAAGGAAATCTCCATTTACAGGAACATTAAACCTCTTTCAGAATATCAGATTTCACAATCATTGAAGAGAATGAGGGCTGCCTTGTGAATGCTCACAGATAATGAAGCCTGAGTCATTTAGAATACAGTGAAGTATGGACTTATCAGTCTAAGAATGGCTAGAGAGGACTGCGAAGAAACCAAATATTATTTCCTTTACCTGAAGCCAAACTATGGTTAGTTTAAAATATAACAATGAATTGCAATTAAAATGCAAATGGCATTTTTTATCTGTTAAAAAATACCTGATGGCCCTGTCAGTGCTTGGAACTTGGAACGAAGCAGATCCCCATGCAGTAAAATAACTGCAGCCTTGTCGCCCTGTTGAGCATTACGTCATTCCGCGGGCACAGAAGGGTTATCAGCATTGTCACCTCTGAGAACCCCTCTCCCTAATAATAATCAGCATTGGTAATGTTTATCTTCTACCCAGTCACTGTGAATGACAGTACAGTTACAACAATTACTAAACACGGGGCACCAAATCCTGAAATTCAAGATATGGTAAGTGCAGCAAAGATATGGATTTTCTCGATGCCCCAAAGACAAGAATAAGAAAGTGAAAACATATAACAAAATGTAGTACATAATATATCTTAAAATGTGGATTACAAACAACAGATAAAATCAGCATTAATTGGCGTAGCTCTTCTCCAGCCACAACATGGTTCCCCTAGTTGGTGTTACGTGTACACAGTGATGAATAGAGGCTTCAATGTACAATCAACTCGGGATACATGTGCGCTGGCCCTCTACATGTTTCGCGGTACTTGCCACTTCTTCAGGAGGAATAGGAGCATTAAACATTTAAAATATATCATTACGCCATTCAGGCACATTAACCGCTTCCGTCCACCCTAGAAATCATGTGTATATATATATATATGTGATTTTGCAGTTTTGGGTAGGGGGCGCACACCCTACCCACGCCCAGTAGTGTATTTTGGTTTTGTGCTGCCCTAGGCAACACTAAAATCGGGCACCCCCCATCTAAATTTGTCCCTCCCTTTGTTGTTTAAGATCCACCTCTTCAGGAGAAGAGCATGATAGAGGGCAGTGTGACATGAGGGGGGGGGGGGGCGCAGGACAGGAGGGGGGCAGCATGATGGGGGGCTGTAGGACAGGAAGTGGGCAGCAGGACAGGAGGAGAGCAGCATGACGGGGGATATCAGGACAGGAGGAGGCCATCGGGACAGGTGGGGGGTAGCAGGGCAGTGTGATGGGTGGGGAGACAGAGGGATGGGTGGGGAGGCAGAGGGACAGGTGGGGGGCACGGGACAGGAGGAGCGCAGTGGGACAGGAGGAGGAGCACAGAGGGACAGGTGAGGGGCAGTGGGACAGGTGAGGGGCAGTGGGACAGGTGAGGGGCAGTGGGACAGGAGGAGCGCAGAGGGACAGGTGGGGGCAGCGTGACGGGGGCATGGGACAGGATCAAGGCAGCGAGACAGGAGGAGCACAGAGGGACAGGTGAGGGGCAGTGGGACAGGAGGAGCGCAGAGGCTCAGGTGAGGGGCAGTGGGACAGGAGGAGCGCAGAGGGACAGGTGAGGGGCAGTGGGACAAGAGGAGCGCAGAGGGACAGGTGGGGGGTAGTGGAACAGGATGAGTGCAGAGGGACAGGTGGAGGGCAGTGGGACAGGACGAGCGCAGAGGGACAGGTGGGGGGTAGTGGAACAGGAGGAGGGCAGAGGGACAGGTGAGGGGCAGTGGAACAGGAGGAGCGCAGAGGGACAGGTGTGGGACAGGAGGAGTGCAGAGGGGAGGAGGAGTGCAGAGGGACAGGTGGGGGGCAGAGGGACAGGAGGAGTGCAGAGGGACAGGTGGGGGGCAGCGGGAAAGGAGGAGTGCAGAGGGACAGGTGGGGGGCAGTGGGACAGGAGGAGCGCAGAGGGACAGGTGAGGGGCAGTGGGACAGGAGGAGCGCAGAGGGACAGGTGAGGGGCAGTGGGACAAGAGGAGCGCAGAGGGACAGGTGGGGGGTAGTGGAACAGGATGAGTGCAGAGGGACAGGTGGAGGGCAGTGGGACAGGACGAGCGCAGAGGGACAGGTGGGGGGTAGTGGAACAGGAGGAGGGCAGAGGGACAGTGAGGGGCAGTGGAACAGGAGGAGCGCAGAGGGACAGGTGTGGGACAGGAGGAGTGCAGAGGGAGAGGAGGAGTGCAGAGGGACAGGTGGGGGGCAGAGGGACAGGAGGAGTGCAGAGGGACAGGTGGGGGGCAGCGGGAAAGGAGGAGTGCAGAGGGACAGGTGGGGGGCAGTGGGACAGGACGAGTGCAGAGGGACAGGTGGGAAGTAGTGGAACAGGAAGGCAGAGGGATAGGGTGGGGCAGTGGGACAGGAGGAGCACAGAGGGACAGGAGGAGCACAGAGGGACAGGTGGGGGGCAGCGGGACAGGAGGAGTGCAGAGGGACAGGTGGGGGGCAGTGGAACAGGAGGAGCGCAGAGGGACAGGTGAGGGGCAGTGGGGACAGATTGGGGGTAGTGGGACAATGTGGGGGACAGGAGGGGGGAAGTGGAACAGGTGTGGGGCAGGGTGACAGGTGGGGGCAGTGTGACGGATGAGGGGCAATCGGACGGGGAGGGAAGTAGAACAGGTGGGTGGCAGTATGTCGGGGGGACAGTAAGACAGGAGTGGGGAAGCACTAGTCATCCAATCTCTTACCTGTCCAGCAGCAGCTCCACCAGATGGTGTCAGCATCACTCAAGAAGGGGTGCCTGTGTCCCATCACCCCCAGGATCTCCGGCGGCAGCTGCAAAAGAGCAGGGGACTCCTCCACCCTGACTTCATCCTCTTCCCCCTCCGCTGGCACCTTCTGGCCATCCTGCACATCCTGGCTTACACTGACAGCGGGCCCCGGCCCTGATGTGCTCCGAGCGCATACGGGGGATCCGCACACCACTCTGCTTTCCTCTGCAGCCAGTCCCTTGGCACGGGTCACTCTCCTTGTCTGTCGGCTTGGCTGTACCCTCATGCATGGTGGCCCTGCCACTGAGACACACAGTGTTCCTTCTGCCTGGGGGGGGGTCGTGCCGCCCCCCTGTAAACTGCCGCCCTAGGCAAATGTTTTGTTTGCCTCGCGGCAGATACGCCCCTGCCCGCACTGCCATTCACAGCTACGGCTGTCAATCACCAGGTACCGGCTGGTAATTACTCGCCGGTGCCTGGTGATTTTCGAAGATCACCGACGGTGAAGAAAACTGTTTTGTTTACTATTAGTTCTCCTCCATGTTGGCTTGGGCACACTGCTCTGGATAGCTGTGCACAGCACAGTCATCCAGAGCAGTGTGCTCAAAGTGAAGCACCAACACACCTCCCCCTAATAAAAACCTCATGTTAACCCCTTCCTGCCCAGTGCCATTAGTACAGTGTCAGTGCTTTTTTTTTAGCACTGATCACTGTAATGGTGTCACTGGGGAT